TTCAAAGGCATTGCCTACTACCCTAAATATACTGAAATATACTGAACTATATGTCTGAAGACTATCGGCTTCAGCTGCATTTGCAAAATGGCGATGCTCACATCGAATTTAATTCCGCCATCTTCAACATGGGCCTAATTTCCATTGAGAACATGCTGGTTGGGATGCGTGGTGAGCAACTTCATAAATGCGGATTCCCTCTGCTTTACAGGAGCGTTGGAAATCAGCTCCCCACTAAACAGCAGCGTGAGCTTTGCAACAATGTTACCCAGCTGGCGGCATACGTTGCTCTGAACAAACCAAGGTCACTGGTCGACCAAATGAACGCGTTCAACACTATTCTTGACAGTGTCTATGGCCACAATAATGGTGATCACGTTTTCTTTCTGGATGCTCCTGGTGTAACTGGTAAAACTCTCGTCCTCAAGTTGCTCCTTGCCGAACTGCGCAAAGACGGCAAAATTATTTTGGCTTTTGCATCGGCTGGTACTGCAGCGACGTTCCTTCCTGGCGGCCTAAATGCTCACAGTACCTTCAAGCTTCCTCTTAGGTTAGCCGATGATGGTACCTCAACATGCCAAATAAGCAGTTTTCAGTTTTTTTAGTTTATTTTGTGAGGATAATAGGCAACGCCTTTGAAAACCCTATTGATCACCTGTACAAGCACCTTTAAAAATTTACCACTACTAACATAGTATTGGCAAACAGTGAGTTGTTTTTTTTCAATATATGTCTGGTTGTTAGAGTTCAGACTTGGAGGGAAGAGAGGGGACGCATGTAATTATCCGAGCGTTGTTTGTACATCTGAAGAGAAGTGGCCTCCACGACTGACTGTGGAAGGTTGTTCCACTGTTGCAAGGCACGTTACGTGAAGAATTCATAGCGGAGGATTAGCTTGGACATCTTCGTGTGCAGCTTCATCGTGTGCCCACGGAGATGAGGCGAGAGGTACCACTGAAACATGTCCTAAACTCCTTATCCTTTCTAAAGACCGTTTATTATCTTGTAAACTAAGATAAGATCCCCTCTCTGTTGTCTGTAATGCAGAGGGAATAAATTTAGGCATGCCAGTCTGTCTATGTAAATGTGGTTCTTTAGACCTCTTACTAGCTTTGTTGCCCGACGCTGCACTTTCTCCAGATATGTTACGTCCCTTCCTAGCCATGGCCGCCACGCCTGTATGCCATATTCTAGGCGTAGTCGAACAAACATACCGTACACTTTGCCAAATAGATCTTCGTCGAAGGCTAGAAACGCACTTTTGATAGCGTGCAGCACTCCTGTGGCTTTATTTGCAGGTTTGACCCATTGTAATGAGTTCTTCAGATTACTCTGTATCCAAAAGCCGAGATCTTTTTGCGTAGATGCTACGGGAACTTGAATGGTTTTCAGGTGATATGTCCTAATGCTCTGGGGGGACAGGGTAGTTTGTTGGACACAGGTGGAATACGGCACACTTTTGCACATTGAAATCCAGTAGCCATCTCTCGGACCAAGTCTGCAGTTTGCACAGATTA